GTTAAGGGGAACCCCAACCAAAAAAACAAAAAAAAAAAAAAAAAAAAAAAAAAAAAAACCCAACAACAAATCCTACTAAAGCACAAATAAACAAACAAAAACCCAAAACAAAAACAGAACCTAGCAATTTTGTGTGATTCCCTCCCTCAGCTTTAGTGGACTGTGAAATAGGGTACGTCAAAGGGCTTCACTTGGAATATCTACAAATGGGTAGCCTTCTAGTAGAGCCTGGGGGCAGAACTTTGTTAAGTGAGGTTTCTAAAGCTAAGTAGTACCAAGCTAAAAATCCTACCCCAAAGGCCAGAGAGAAACAGAATTTACCTTGTCAAAAGATAAAATGTGGAGAGTACAGCTCAATGGTAGGGCACTTGCCTGGCATATACACATGAGGCTTTGGATTCGACTCCAGCACCACCTCCTCAAAAGACAAAATGTACCTAGGCGTGGTAGTCCATGCAGGAGTGCGCTGCATGCATACAAGCATGTACATGCATACTTCTTAAGAGATTGCTAACAAAAGTATCATCAGTTCCTAGAATTCCTGTAACCAATCAGCATGTGTAATTATGTATTTGATTCATACATAGATGCCTTCAGTACTGAATTCACCTCTTTTATAATCTCCTATATAATTTTAATGCACAGAAACGCTTAAGATAGTGGAACAGAAATCTAGCTTTACTATAATATTATCTCAGTAAAAAGAAAATGAATCTACCAATTGATATTGATATTGAGTCTGAAAGATGATCTTTGGTCTTACCACTATTTCTTTCTTTTTTTTTTTTTTGAGACAGGGTCTATCTATACAGACCACGTTGGCTTTGAACTCTCAGTCCTCCTATTTAATCTCCTGAGCCCCAGGAATACAGGTGTGTGCACCACCATGCCTAGGGCAGTAGGCAAACTGACAAAGAGTCACTAAATAAACAGCCAGCAAGCCCTCCCCTAGAGCCACTATGAATGTATCAAGGATACATTCTTGGAAAGTATCTAAGTATTTAAAATATAGAATGCCTAGTCAAGACTACCTATAGCTAACCAGAACATGGGCTGAAAATTGCAAGAAGTATCTCATCTGGAAAGAAAAAAAAAAAAACAACTTGCAAATATGTTTCCCACTGTCTGGACAGGAAGACATAGACTAAATTTATTTCCTCCTCAAGACAAGGTGTAAAGTGCGACACAACCCAACAGAGCTACTAAGCTCCCTACATTTACTTCCTTTTCATATTTTAAATGTTAAGTAAATGGTGATATTTTTTAAAAATACACCTTCTCATTTCTGATCTGAAAACACAAATAACAAAGTGGAACTCTGGGCTGTGTTGAGGATCACCAAGCCTGGCCCTGAAGGATGTTTCAGAAGCTCCTACAAGCTGCCCTCAGAGGTTGGTCTTCCTGTAGAGTTGTCTTTTGGGACCATGGGATAGGGCAGAAGGGAAAGACTGGTGCAAAACACAATGCAGTTAATTTTTCTACCTCAGAAAGAAATAAAAATTCCATCTTGACATTAAGGCTAAACCAGAAACAAGCTGACCAGTATTAACTTATTCCATTTAACTACAGGCACATACAGGAATACTAACCATGCAAATGAATATTTAAACCTGCTAATGTTCACTCTCATGCAATAAAAGACAATTCTGCACCTCACCCAGTCTGGACCCCACGGTTTGTGGTACCACAGCATTCCCCATACACTTTCCCCCTCAAGTGCTTTGTGGAGGATGGCAATGCCCATGTCTTAAGAACACCAGGCTCCAGACCAGAGAGAAGTCTGTGCTTGTACCCAGGGCTTTACCCCTCAGTATGTAGGCTTAGGCTGTCAAGAAGGTATAATACGCCTACCTCCTGGTCTAAATGAGAAGAGTTTAAGGTTCATTCAAAAAGTGTTTTTTATTTTATGGATAGCTACAGCCCTAGAGGAGTTTCATTCTCTCTTCCACACAACTTCTCCTTGATACCATCCTATATGCTATGACTAAGCTTATTAAAATTTAAAACAAAAATAAAAATCACAGGCAGGCCAGATGACACTGTGAGTAAGTGCTTGATGCCAGTCTGATGGCCTGAGTTCAATCCCCAGAACCCACATGGTGTAGAGACAGAGAGTTGACTCTCACAAGCTGTCCTCTGACCTCCACACATGTGCAGAAATATGCATACACACAAACGTACAATAAATTTAAAATGTTTAAAATTTAAAAATGAAAAATAAATTCACTAGCCCCGTTCTAATACAATCCTTTTGAGCTGGAGTGAGTCTGGGACCCCAGATGAAGTTCCCAAGTCACGGGTGACTGACCAACATTACCAGGCTGATTGTTCCAGTTTTGTTCTTCTAGTTTTTGACTCCTTGTCTAGATCTGAGCGTGGGGAGGAAAAAAAAAGAGAGGAATGGAGCATCCGAGGTCCTCTGAGGCAAACCTTGGGCATCCTAAGATTTTTCATCTTACACCATAGACTCAACAGGTCAAGAAGAGCCAGCAAATTGCAGTTACAGTTTTAACTGGATTTTCCCCCACACCTTGCAGGGGGAGAGTACACATGGAGGCAAGACAGGTAGACTTGGGAAAGACGCAGAACAATTCAGAGACAGCAAGAAAGGGACAGCACAGTAAGACTCAACATTCAACCATTACTGTGACTCCAAGCAAGTCTATAAAGATTAACTGACCTGTTTTCCTCCTCTTATCAAACCACCCTTCTTACTGAGGAGCTGACACTGAGGAGGCCCAAACTTGGGCAGGGTCACACCTCAAAGCCACCACTTCTGCAGCACAGAGTTGGAACAACCTGAAAAAAACAAAAGGTGACAAAACAATTAAAGGGGTTTAAGACAAAAAAAAAAAAAAAAAAAAAAAAAAATTAAACTCCCGAAGAAAAAAGTGTAAAAACCAAAAAAAAAAAAAAAGGTGAAAAAAAAATAAAAGGGGTTAAAAAAAAAAAAAAAAAAAAAAAAAAAAAAAAAAGATTCTACTTCTGCTCCCACCAGGAATCAATCACCACACCCTATCTGTAACTGCAAGCAAGCTGTTGCTTGTTTCCACAGGAACGGACTGCAACTGTGTGTTCCTTGAACAGACAGGACCCCAATACCACTACCAAAGGATGTCCCAACAATGCTGTGGACAATGCCAAATGGGAAAGGCTAGATTGCTGGCTTTAGGCTGGGCCTGGAGCATCCTGGTGGCAAGTTCACAGTGCTAGACTGGAGCAGAGCTCAATGGCAGAGCATTTGCTAGCATGTGTAAGGCCTCAAATTCCATTCTCAGCACCAGAGAAATCAAAAACAAAAATGGCTGAACAAATGGGGGTCCTCCAGCTTAATGGAAGTTAACACTTGATTCTGTCAGAAACAGAGAGGAAAACAGTATGAAACAGCACCTAAAAGTAGAGGCTATTACATCTTTTCTCAAGTGAGGGGGGAAATGCATGTCAAGCAGAACCAAATGCATACCTTTATCTTTCTGCAGGAAGACACAGAAAACGTCTCTAATTACACATGTCCTTCAGGGATTTGTCTGCTCTGGGGTCTAAAAGGCCCTGAAAGCCCTAATCTGTGAGAATGTGTGGACTGGTCAGAGAAATACAGTCAGAGAAAGCTGGAATGTAGCTCATGTCCCAGAGCTACATTTGCCTCAGGCTCTAAACACAGCATCCCTCAGCTGAAGAAGGCAATACAGGGAGAAAATCTAAGCAGGTGAAGGGCTGGGTCATAGCTCAGGGGAAAGCACCTGTCTAGCATACACAGTGGGCCCTCATTTCCATCCCCAGCACCACAAAAGAGAGAAAAAAAGGAAACAATGGAATAAACTCCGTATGGACAACAGTTGCCAAGATGCAGTTGCTCAGCACATTTTCTCACTTTTTCGGACCATCTGGAGACAAGCATGTCGTATACCTATTGTCTTATGTCTTACTTGGAGCTGGCCA